CCCCAGTAGGTGTGCAGGAGGCAGCTGATCAATGTTTCTCTCTCATCCATGTTTCTAATTCTCTATCCCTCTCCCTTCCTATCTGTAAAAAAAATCAATAAAATATATTTTTAAAAAATTCCACATATAACTTTTAATTCCCCCAACACTTAGATGCCCCTCAGTATCAGAGGGGGATTGGTTTCAGGAGCCCTGTGGATACCAAAGTCCACAAATGCTCACATCCCCAATATAAAATGGCATAGAACAATGCCTACAGGCGGCCCTCCACATCTGCACACTCTCAACCACTGATCAAAAACAATACAGGTACTTATTGGTGGGAAAATCCACATATAAGTGGGCTCACACACTTCCAACCTGTATTGCTCAAGGTCAACTGCATTTGATCACACCTGCTCATTGGGGTGGGGTGGAAGCTGAGGCACGACTTGATCTACTAAGTCCATTATTACCTAGTCCCTAACCTTGGCTCCCTAGCACCGTTAATCATTTCTGTCTATGTATGTCCATGCGTCTGCATACAGCTTTCCCACACCCAAATTAGATTTTCATCTTCTCCAGGGTTTTATTGTACTTTTTTCCCTTTAAAACCTTTAATAAATCAACAGTGAGCACACACTCAAAAAAGATTTGGGGATAATGACAACATATTCCTCTATTAATTAACTTAATTCATTAAGTAAATAAGTATCAGGTACCTACTAAGTTCAAGGCACAGAGCTATGTGTTAAGCAAGATGTTTTGAAAAGGAATTTGTCATGAATCCTACCCTTAATCAGCTTGTAGTTTTTAATGAGCCACATTCTATTTGCTTTGAGCCGAGTAAAACCTCAGCTAAAATTGAAGACATCTAGGAGGAATCCCTTTTTTCCAGAACCACCTTTTCTTGAGTACTAATTCTGAAGTTTCTATCAACTCTGAATTACCTTGGTAGTTCTCAACTCCTGGGAGATGAAGACAGAACAGAATGTGAGGACTAGAACTGAACAGTGAGATAGATATGGCACTGTGAGGATTACGGACAGACTTAAGGAGATTTATGGCTGACATTTCAGAACAGAGTAAGTACCTACTAGTACAGAAGTTGTCTCTAAGTCTTGGTTTATTCTCACACTATCATGCTTTCAATCTCAGGCTCCCAGCTTTTGACCTCTCGAGTATGTGTATTCATTACACATACAGCAAGCTTTAACTGGATAGTAGCAATGGTTACCTTTGAGTCTTCACTATGAACCAGGCATTATGCTGTTTCATATGCATATTCTCATTTTAATACACATGAGGTAGGCTCTTTTAGTATTCCTGTTTTACTGATATAAGAAAACTGAGATTGGGGTCATAGCTTATTCAAAGTCATCCAGGCATTATTTCCTTTGAACTCAGATCTGTTTGATTCTGCAGGTAGAGTTTCAATTATTAGACCAATTTGGAATTTCGAAGATTCCGATATTTTATCTTTGCGCTTTGGATAATTCCTTAAAATTCCCATCTAATACTCTAATTGGACAAAGATTTGTTTTCTTTTACAGTTGAGTCTTAAGGGAGTACAAAAAAAGAAAGCAAAAATTCCACAGAGAGAAAAAAAAGAAAAAACCAGACTGGTTGGACAAGGAAGAAACAGCTGCATCCACTTTAGGTAAAGTTACATAGCCTAGTTTATGGTTTTGGATGAAACAGCATGTTACCATTTGTCTATTCATTCTCCGTGGTTTACTAGGAAAATACCATTCGTTTCCCATTACCTTTCTCCTCAAGAGCTAGGATAAAAGAAGATTATTTCCCCTTGCTTCTATACATAAAGAAGGAGTAATGAGTTCCCACTTTATTTGAAGACCAGAGTCTGTCACTTCTTTATCCACCAGGATTCCAAAACTTCTTAGAGTTTTGTTGACACATTTATGACAGTTCCCTCTTTAAAAACAAAAATGAAACAAACAAACAAACAAAAACCTTTCACGAGCTCATATTCTATAACCCGAGGTTATGGAAAACAAAAGAACACTCGATCAAAGCAGTCCCAGGAAGTTATCTAATGCATATAAATACCTAGTCCTGAAATCTTCAATTATTTTCCTTTGGGGATTATGTCTTTAGGGAAGAGATAAAATCATTTTCCTCCAATAACTTCATCTGAGATTGACAAAAGACAGATAAAGGAAACTGAATAGGCTGATGTTTCCCTGGTCTCAGCTTCAGTTCAAGTTGTCTCAGACAAAGGAACTTCTACTTCTTTTTCTTGAAATAAATAGAAATTGGAAACATGGGAATTTATAACTTTCTCTCCGAGATATTAATACTTTCTTTCTTTGAACTCATACAGTCCCCCAAAATGGTACCGTGAATCCTTGAGGTAGCACTAAGTAATTTGGGGTTAAAATGAACTTGGCTAGTTATCACTGTGCCTTTGGCCGAAAAATCTAGGCTCAGTCCTGGTTGCTTTTTGGAATGGAAAGCACACAATATCGGTATTGCAGGCAGCTCCAGAAAAGCATGCCAGGCCTCTCATGCTCTCAATTTATATTTGCATGTGAACAGCTTGTCGGCCATTTTATGAAGACAGATGAATCGCAGGCCTGCAGGAGGGGCCGTCCGACCTAAGTACGTGAACCACATACCCCTACAGCCCATAACATTTTAAAAATGAAAAAAAAAATTATCTCTGAACACAACTTCAGGCAGATTGTAGATAAACATAATATATGAAAAAAAAACATTTAAGGCATCACCTATAAATCAAGAAGGATATAAAGAATGAAACTAATCTATAAATCACTCATAAATATTAACAAAAAATAAGATGTAGCTGTTTATGCCTCTATAAATAAGTTTCAGCAGTCTCTCTCTCTCTCTCTCTCTCTCTCTCTCTCTCTCTCTTTCTCTCTCTTTAATGCCTGCTTTGAAAAGACAACTTTGACAGAAAATGCCACCAACATACCAGGAAGAGAAGATGAATCACCAGACAGTCCATATTTAATAGTAGAGCCCAACAATGTTACAAAGAATTTCCCAGGCTTGGGAAATTAAACAAACCCTGAAAAATTAGCAATAGGATATCTAATGTGGTAAGCTCCATCCTCCATCCTACAACAATTCAGTTTACCTATCTATTCCAACAGATCAGATGGAAATTCAAAATGGAAACATGTAAAGAACAACAAAAGGAAGAGAGACTCAAGGAATGAGCTCATTCTGCAAAGATGGAATAAAAATTGTTGGATTATATTGACTAGAAAATAATATGAGTTATACTAAACAACAGCCAACAATTTTTAAAGCATAAACTATATGAATATGTACATATAATCTTACTTAATTCTTCAACAGGTAGGTAATATTATTACCATATTATTTAAAAGAAGAAGAAGAAATCTGTACCCTGAGAGTTAAATAACCTATTCAGTATTACAAAGGTAAGGGACAGAAGAGGCAGAACTTTAATGTAGGTCTGACACCTCAACCTGAGTTTTAACCACAACACCATATTCCCCTCACAGGCCCCTTAATGTCAAGTACTCCCATTAGAGCCTTCAGTTCAATGACCAAGGTGAGCATTTGGGAACTCTATGAGATGACATCTGTGAAAGTACATAATATAATGTTTATCATATGACAAGTACTTCTAGTTCACTTATTGGTTTTTATTGAAACTGATGATTTTACTCAATTGAAAATTCGAACCTATTATAATCTTTTCCATACTTGGAGTACATACATTAAATTCTGTACTTTATTGGACGCTATTGTATTTGTATACAAAGGATCTATTCAAATTTCTGTACCAGAGAGTTTCTATAGTTATACAATTGAGGAATTTAATAGTCATGTACCCTTATTGTTTTTTTTTTTAGACAATTTAAAGCGAAAACCCTTCAAAGACAGAGATCATTTTCTTAAAGCCATGAGCAAAGTGTTGAACTCTTAAAAGGCCTCAAAAATACTTGTCAATGATCTTAAATTACTTCTGAAGAAGATCGCAGGGCATAGGCCACTTTTAAAGGAACGAAAATGAAATGAAACAGTCTTGATTCCTCACTTATGCTGTAAAAGATTCTAATTTGGTAAGTCAACTCCACCTGTCTAGTCATCAACTTCCTTAGGAACTAAGGTGCCATGTGTACCCAATAGTGTGTGGGGGTGGAGGTGGTGGGGGGCCGCGAGAGTGGTCCAGAGTACTCCTTGAGTCCTCCCATTGTTCCTACTGTGGGCCACCCATAGGGCAGACTCTGAAATCCTTGTACTTGATTAGCTGCTGGCTACTGTAGACTCTCAAAGCTAAACTTACCATTTTCTGGCTGGTCCTTAATGTCAGCATCACTTGGCTGGCTGGGACTTTCAGATTGACTTGAATCTGAAAAACATAAAAATACAGCCAACAATTATAGGGTCTGTGAGAGAAAGTGGATCAGAGGTGCCAGACTTTCTCAAAAGGTTCAGCATATAAACCAGGAGTGAGAATGTTACAGAAATAACATGATGAACAAAAAAAGAAAAGAAAGGGGAATGGGGAGCAGCAACAGCAGCCTGTGCCCTTAGAGAGGACCTCGGTTTTGTTTACGCCTCCAGTGTGTTTGGCTTGTGCCAGATCATAACTTGAAACTCTTCAGAAAGACCATTCTCTTACAGACAGACCATTTCCAAACTGCTCTTCTCCATGATTTATACACTAGAGTCTGATCAAGACTTCATCCTTCATTACACACATCTGAAGCTTGATTCAGAACATAATAAAGTGTCAAAACATGTTTTGAAGCTGGTATATAAAAGCAGCCCAAATAACAGTAACAAGTTCTGTTGATATTTAGCTCTGTATTACAGCAACAGACTATGCAGACTAACACCATTAAATACCAGCGTCCTAATATTCTAGCACATTTCCTTGAACAGGATAAATCAGTGGTGTCTTTCTAAAAGGTACGTTTCCCACACTTTAGCAAAGACAGGTTCTTGCACACCCTTTATCGAATTCCTTTTTTTAAAAAAACACACAATCATTTCAAACTAAAAAAATTAATTCAAGTAATTTAACTTATAAATGGGATCATGTAAAATAAAATGATTTAAAAACGAGGTTAAAATTAAGTTAGATCAAAAGAATTTCACAGAATTGAAAGAACTAGCTAGGTGGAAAAAAAATTAGGCAAAATATGTCAAGGGGAAAACTTTTTGATGTAAAACATTTTCTGATACTTAAAATGGTATAAAACATTATCTAAAAATGAAAGTATTTTTCTAGAAAAATGTATATTATCTGTGAAAAGCCTGAATCCAAACTTTACCTTGACTTTATAGGATTAGACTTAACTGTCTGAAATTTGACCATCTTTCAGCAAGAAGTTCAATGCAAGATCAAAAGATCATGACCCATAACTGAATAAACTGGAAATATTGCCTCTATTTCAACAGAGTTAGGGCAGTACCATTCTCTTTCTTGGAGATAGGGTAAAAAGAAGTATCAAGACTAGTGACTCTGGGTTGAGAACTGCTAATTTATAACTTAGAAAGTCTTCCTGCTTTTAAGCAAATGAAGATTTTAATTATAGGAACATACTATAAAGAAAATGTCTATCTAAAATTTTTCAGATGATTTTAACCTGGTGACCATAGCAAAAATTCTATGTTGATTCAATGGTTCAATTAACAAAAGATGTGGAATGTGAATTTTTATTTAAGTCTGGCAAAGTGATAGCTTTTATCATCTTATAACAATCGCCTTAGTGAAGAAAAAAGTAAAAAGTATTATAGGTCAAGAAACTTTAGAGAAATCCTTTAGAATGAACCATGAAATGAAATACAAAGCCTGCACTAAAAATTGAAAGTGAAAATTAATGTTGAACCATATTTAAATTTTAACTTCATAAATGAATATTATTTTTATAGCAAACAATTTAAAAATATGGTGTGGCTGCCTTCATTCTTTTCTAAGAAAAAAATCCTACAATTTTGCCATTAAAAATTAAAAATGAGATATTCTGAAAAGACAGTCAACATGTTTTAGAAGGAAGGAATACCTTTATTATTTTTGTCCTGGAAAATTTTAAGGCATTAATATCCAAAATAAAAATTAAAGAAAATATATAATTTTGTTTTAGGAAAAGTTAAAATCCTTCCTGATCATATCCCAAAATAGAAACATAAAATCTTGCCAAATAGAACATTTCCTTTGGAGTAATACTAGCAAACCTCACTTTCTATATGATAGCTCAGACAATGTTCTTCTAGGTGTAATATCTTCATAATTAATCAGTTCTTCGTGAACAAATGAAAAAAAAACATTGTCTATCTCAATTAATTTCAACATACAATAGCCAATTAATTTCCTGACATTTATCCATTAATATGAAGGCAAAAAAGGGTAATGAGAGACCCAATTTTTAAAAATAATCTCAAGTGGACTTTTCTTTTTTTACTTTGCCTTTACATTTGATTTGCCACTCTATCTTTAGAGAAATACAACATGATTACAGAAAACATGAACAGCAACAAAGGATAAGTTCAAAGAAAGTTTAAAATTCCAAGCCATGGAAAAAGAAGCAAACAAATAGCAAAGGACCGAGCGGCAGGAGACTGCTGAGAGTTGGTCTGAAAGGGGCGGCCGTGCTCCTGTGAAAGCTCAGATACAAACACTGGAGAAGGCACTTTGCCAAACTGGGAATGGAATTTAATTTCTCCAGTTTTATTCAAAAGCTGGAGATGCTGTTATCCACAGAGGACTGCATAGTAAAATAGGCCATCCTGGAAAAGGGATAAGCAAAGTCAAAGATCTATAAGAAAATGTAAATGATTTTAAAACTTCAATAATTATTTCCTACCATGGACCGTTTAAAACCATTCCTCTCTGAACCGAGGGACAAAATTACCGAGTCCCGGTGCTATTCTGGTGCTATTCTATGCTGAGCACACATGGACACTTTCTCTGCTGTTGCAAAAGGTCACCAATGCTGTTATGGAGCCAACCAGATGACCAGAATTACAAATTAATTCCGACCCATACATAATTGATACAAATGAAAGATCTCTTTCTTGAGCATTTGCATTAAAACACTATCATGAAGGTTAACAATTAATTTACTCTTCTCTTTTTTACACTGGGTAGCGGCCTATCAGCAGCCAAGGTAACGTTATGTCTGACTTTTTTGGACAATTATCCCGTGATTAGTTGATTCCTTCCACCTGAAATAATTAGAGGCCCACCCAAAAACAAGCCTGACTGCATAGAATTGGATTCCATATCTTAGATGTTACATTTGGCAATGATTTTCTCTGGTCACCTGGTTGAAAACTAGGTGATTTGTATATGAAGAGAATATTATTTAAAGTATGTTTAAATGATGGAGTTGGAAATGCTATTGTGAGGAAGTACATTAGGGTTATCAATTTTTTTCCCATCTAGGGATTTGCTTTTTGTTAAAGAAACCTTAGACTTCAATGTAACCTTGAAAAGCAATATTTCTTTTGGTTTTTAAAAAATTTATGAGCAGAAATTTAAACCTAAAATAGACTGGGTTTGCATATAGGAGGCTGGGTTGGGACTTCTTAATTGAACTGGTGGCCATCTATCTATGCATTTTATGGCGCCTACAGCTATATTGCTGAAGTGCTCAGACAAAGATATTTCACTATCAACATAATCACTGGGGAAAGGAATAAAATAAATCCCAATGCCTACATATTAGTCCCTGCTTCCATAAGCTTGTGCGATGCAAAAACAGAAACCTCGCACTGCATTTGCTACTTAAGCACATATGCATTCCCCCAACTCCCCTCAGCATGAAATCTCAGAAAATACCCCTTTGGGGAAAGTGAAGAATGACAAAAACATGTCAAGATGCTAAAACTGATTAGACAAAAAAATATAGGCTCCATTTCCATGTGTTTTATGTTCTTTAGGAATGAAGCAAAGAGGGAATGTTGCTAAATCTTGACCTAGAATTAAACTTCCTCCTCTCCAGTACTTCAATGTGTATGTATCTCTTATGGTGTGACATATGTTAAGTTGTACTTAGGTACTAAGGTGATTTTAAATGATCTCCTATGAGGATTTGAGCTCTGTAAGAAAACTCTTGTTTTATCCTCAGTACCTTAATGGTACCTGGCCCAGCCAAGGATTCAATGACTGCTGAACTAAGGAGATGAATTTTTACTTGTTCAGCTTTCTAACACTGAACCATGGCCAGTGACTGAAAAATATACTAAGTTCACAACCTAAAACCTAAAAGGGGACTGGGACTTCTAAAATGATAAAGGAGGGAGAAAATGCCTTTATTTCTGCTAGATGTTCCCCCTTTTGTGGGGCCTGGCAGGGGTGAGAGAGGCACATCCCTCTGGTTCGGGTGGGGTGTGGGGGACCTTGCACAGTGTTTAGATGATCACCTCCTATGATCCCCTGGCCAACACAACCATAAGAGGCTCCTCAGAACAGCAGGAGCTCAGGATGGTGTGTGATACATTAGGAGGTCCCTGGAACTATGTATAGACTTAAATGATGGACGACAGAGGAATATTTCACGCATTCAAAAAATACAAAGAGAAACCTGCCATATTCTGACACCCAAAGAGCACCTCAGAATGCTACTGACTGTTGTGTGAATAGTTGATAAAGGAAGAACAGGCACGCTGTGGTGAAGAAGCCTTCCTACCCTAAAACAAACCAGGGTAATTCCTGTCCAGTCAACATGCTATCAGCACAAGTCTATAGACCATAAAAGTACAAATTCTCGTTCCACTAACAAAATAACTTAGCCTAAGTTTCAACCCCCCTACAAGTATAATGATTTGGCTAAAGATGAAATTTGAAAATCCTTCGTTCGACTTTTGTGTCCAGTTTTAAATCTCCCAGATTAAAAGGCAGTATAAAGAAACCAGGAGGTACCCAGACACAAAAATGAGTTAGTCAAGTGGAAGAAATAAAGTGAAAATGCCACAGAAAAGAGCTGGAGTTGTTTATAGTGTGAGAAAGAAAAGGCAAAGACGGGAATGAATACTTTCCTGCAAATAAATTAAGATTTAAGAGCATTCCTGGGGTAAAAGAAAATAAGAAGTAAGGGTGATTATACTCTGAATATAACAAACAGTTACTCTCTAGAATTGTAGCCTTTAGAGATGTTCAGCATTTAGGTAAGCTTTTGATTTTTATATTTAGGGAGATGATCCCTCTGCAGAAGAGTCAGGTCAGAGAATACTGATACTCATTTTTCCACATCCAAAATGTTACGATGGGAAAATAATTGTATTTCTGATTGGTAGTGTAAGGTTTAGAATTACTCTATTTTGATCATCCAGTATCATAGCCTGTTTATTACAGTAAGGAAATCTAGATAATCAAATGGCTATGAGGGTCACGTTTCGCTC